TTGTGTCCAAAAGACAAATCATCTGTGAATAAAAGGCAGTGAAATCCTTCAACTGAGTTCATGGCATCAATTACGTCATCTACATATTTATTAAAAAGGATGCAACTGACTACATATCCCAGTCTCCAAGACAAAACTCCAAGTTACTTTATTCCAAAATGGACTCTGCAGAGAAGCTGACCAATAAAACAGTGAGTCCACCTCAACATTTTATTTCCAACACCAAGATCTATCATCCTAAAAATTAACTTCTCCTTCTCTACCCTATCATACACTGATCTAAAATCGGCATAAACAGCCATCGAAACATTTCTAGCATCAAGAGCATCCTTCACAAACTGAACAAATTGGGCAACTTGAAAATTTGTCTATCAGCCCCAATGAAATCCAGCTTGTTTATATCTTAGTAAACCAAAATGCTCTAGAATACCAATTTAACTTTGCATGAACTATCATCTCCATCACCTTGCCCATCGCACATGTAAGCGAAATAGGTCTATAATTTTACAAATATCTTGCATCTTTATTGTTTTTGAGAATTGGGATAATCAGTGCTTTCCTCCATTGTATGGGGACCACACCAGTCTTCAAATATAACTATTCAAGAGCATCTGCTTTGCATAATCACTCATATTTTTAAGAAATTCAGCATGGATATAATCCACTGTGGAGATATTCTAAATTTAAGGTTTCTCAATGCAATTTCCAAATCATGTAGTACAAAAGGAGCCGAAGATATCATCATGTGCTCCAATGATATCTCTTTTAGAGTAAGGAAGACTAGAAATTTGAAAATTAATATGTTTAGACATCTTACAAACCATAATCACTCTTTCTTTGGTTTTGGTCAAATTCACATCCAAAATCATTTGCAATAGATTTGCCAGATGTCAAAATTTTTGTTACCTACATATACGGGTTCTTTCTTAGATGAAGCATATTTATTTTGTTTTCTTACAAGGTACCTGCATTTCTTCATGCTATTTTATTGTTAATCTTTGAAATAAATTTACTAAAAGCTTTCTGCTTCTACTGAAGTAAAGATTTTTAAAAAGTGAGGACATTCTCCTCCAAGCAATTACATCACACTTTTAGTTAACTGAGCTTTTCTTTGAAGACGATCTGTCCTTGCTTTTGACTTTCCCAGCTTCGTACTCCAAAAGCACTTTTATAGCCTAACTCTCCCCCTTGGGATTGTAGTCTTTCCGCATTCAAGAACAGGCGTATCAAAAAGGGTGATCAGCTTATCTGAGGATCCCAATATATCAAAATTAAAATCCTTCTGCACAAGTGATTAATCTTGCCCAGAAGCAAAATCTTTTCACCTTGGTTATTTAAAATTCCATAAAACCCTTGAGGATTTACCCAAATTCCGTGTTCAAAAGGGCCACAAACTATAACCACAATCGGACGATGTCCTAAGCAAGGGTCCTCAATTACAGTTCTTTAGTGCAATCACCAGTGTCAGCAGTTACGCATACATTATCAGGAGCGGTCATACAGACAGAATAATGGAGAAAAGCAAATCTTCTTTACTAAAACCCAATTAAAAAAGCCTTCAACTTCACCACTTACAGCATTTAAATCTTGATAACCCCATGCAGTAGACTAAATATTTATATCACGTACAAATGTTATTCTGTTTTCAGCCTCTTAAGCTGAAAATCAAGCTAAATTTAAAGGAGGATGGGCGAGGGCAGCAGTTTTAAGTTTTTGCTCCACATCAGAAAAATTCAAGATCACATTCCATTAATTCATCAGGCACCTTAACTTTTAATAAAGCTTTACTTTCTTCAAAAATGCCTCGGCACTTAATTTTGACACTGATAATTTCTTTACATTACTTCTTTGTATTACTTTTGAAGCTATGCAATATGTTTTTCTCAACACTGGAAGGTTGTGCGATAAGCACAAATTATCTTCATTGTCATCACTAGTAGCTTTATTGCCAGTTAAATGTTGCAGATTGAGTATTGTCATACTTGGCTCTAAATTTTCTTCACTGATGTCTTAACCATTCTTGAAAATGGTTATTCTTCCCTCTCTGTTACTATTGTCTTCATCTGAAAGACGTCGACACAAATCTCATTTCATCATAATTTAATTATTTTCTAGGCTCTGATATCATTTACAATTATAATCAAGCAGAACAAATGCAAAAAAGAAAACACATGTAAGTAAACAGCATTATAAAGTCAACATCAAGCTGTTTATCAAGAAACAACATATGCAGTGATTGTGGAAAAAAGATTGAAAAGTATCCCCCCTCCCTCAAAAAAAAGGAAGTTTACTAAGTAAAAACAGCTAAGGAGGTCTTAGAAATTAATTTGTGTTTTATGTTAAACAGACATAACAAGTCTGTTTTCTGTAAAGTAATCCTCTGTTTAGTGTGTGAAAATGTGAGACAGACTTTTATAAAAAACATCAAATTTTCATGTTGTGATATTAGAATTAAAATAAATGTTTTAACCCATTAACTGCCAAATTTTTATTATATTTCTGTTAGTTTACATCTAAATAATAAGAAAAACATGTTTTTCTCATAAATGCATCAATTTTTTTTTCAGAAATTTTAAATTTAAGTCCGATCCCTAAATGAGGATCATGGCTGATACTATCTACTTTTAATGCCAGCGTTAAGAACAGTCTATGTGTAATCCAACATTACATTTTCCACATTGTTTTCTTTCATTTGTTTTGCACAATGCACATTTTCTTTGTTTACCATTTTCGGTCCGTTCAATATAATGATTACCAGATGTTCTGATAACAGTAGGAACACGATTAATTGATGCTTTAGTGAAAGAATTCCTTCCACCCTTTTTTGCATCTGAGAGTTCTGAAGATAAAGCAAGATATCGTCTAGCAACCATCCTCCTAAAATCTAGCAATGGAATTTTATCATTTGAAATACAATACAGTGCGTGGGCGTTAACCAGTGTTACGTCGATGGCATTAGTAAGCAAAGGAAAATACCATTTTCCCCCCCTTATTCTGATTCTGTATTTTTGAACATTCCAATCCATCTTGTCCACTCCACCCACGTATTTGTTATATTCTGATATCAGTTTGGGTTGTGGTACTTGAATATCTTTCTTCTCTGTTCTACTCCATCGCTTCATCTCTGATATTGGTTCGATATTTTCATGATTAGACAGAAGCCTTACACAACTGTTGTCAGTCCACGTGACAGCTAAAATTTCATTACAGGAATCAAATCTGTAGTCATATGCCTCGTGTTCTTTTTTCCTTATCTCTTTGTCTGTTGCAATAGGGCATTTGTTCATTCTGTTGAATCGAACAGTTCCTGTTGCTCTAACATCAATGTCCTGCAAATGTTTCATCAGAGAAAATCCTGTGTAAAAATTGTCGAAGTACACTTTATGAGCATTTGATGTCTGAAGAATAGATACCATCTGAAGGACAACACATGTCCCAAACCCGCTGATGCTTTCATCATCTCCTAATTTCTTTGATTTGCCTTCATGCACTTGAGTCTGATAACAATATCCAGTCTGTGAACAACAGATAACCCATTGTTTGAACCTAAACCGCACTGGCTTACCACATATAAATTGTTTAAGGTAGTGATGTCTATAGTAATGAACCATTTGTTCGTCAATGCTCAAACTTTCAGAAAACACCCAAAATTGTTGAAATTTGTCATTCAGCTTGTCAATCAATGAGCGAATCTTGAAGAGGTTATCACGTTTACCTAGTGGAATCCTTTCTAAATCAGAGTTGTCACTGATATATAGGTACCTATTATCGTCGTCATCGTCAGATGCAAATCATCAGAATTTACAATTTCTTCTATTTCTTTTAAAGAAAGATATCTTTTACGCAACATTTCCTGGAAAAAAAGAAAAACAGTTTTTTTTTACAATTTTAGTCAGTATCAGCCATGATCCCCAAATGGGGATCGATATATCTAGGTTCATTGTACCCATCCAAATTACAGTATGAGGATAAATAATATATAAATACAGTAATTATTTGCAAAGGAAATTCAGTACAACAAAAATAATTGTTCCTAAGTAACTTTTTTGTGCTTTGAAAATAACCGTATTATTTTTCTCGTGAAAAGTAACGAGAGTGCTAGAAAAATAATCTTGTGAGCTCAACTAACTGAGTCCACGTGTTTGTTTAAGATTTCTACCCTTAGTTGAAATCTTCAGGAAAGCATGACCACCCGTAAGGGACCACCCAAGTGCAGCATGACGTCGCAATGTATACAAATGTAGGTGATCCCCATATGGGGATCATGGCAGGGAATGGGTTAAGGAAACTAATAGAAAATATTGAACTGCAAAATCCATATCATGACTTATGTATCTATGAATAATGTATTAATATGAATAATGGAATGCAATTTATTCTGGTATTTAAATGTATATAAGGAGAGTAAATTCTGCAGCATTGATAAGACTTTGGTAAGCTTGACATGGTTGTGTTAGAATATATAAAATAGATTCTTGTTTCTATAAGAGACATTTGTTTTATTAAAAAAGGTTTTTATTTAAAGTTTCTAAAGATTCCATGCATGTGTCTTTATACAGTACAAAGTTCATAATCTGGACTCGTCGGGACTTCGGCGATTCTGGATTAGGGGTTTTTCTGGATTATAGATCATCAATTTAAATCTGGTAAGATGGCATGCAGAAATTATACAATTAAAAATATTAAACCATAATTTATGAAATAAAGAGCAATTATGATCTAAAGGGTATCAAAATTTACAAAAAAAAAAGATTAATATTTATTTGTTTACTTTATTAAACATTTCTTTCAATATAAGTTGTTTTCTTCATTTTTTGTGCTAAATGCACATGTGTGAAGCATAAAAAAAAAACAAGTTTGTGGCTTTGAGGTCGAGATTATAGATCATTCCGCATAATGGACATCCGGATTACGGACTTTGTACTGTACTTAATTAATGTATACACTGTAAATTTTTTGTGTTAACTTTCTGAACTCAGAAATTGGTTTTTCCTTTTCAGTGAAAATAGTTGTAGCGCTTTATACATACAATGCTCGAGATGATGGGGATCTAAGTTTTCGTAAGGGAGACCGTTTAGGAATTCTTAATGATAGGTAATAATTCTAATATATAATTTGTATAGTGTTGTCATTTTCTTAAAACTCCTCTTTCTCTTGTATGTTACATTTCTCTTCTCGCTTATTTGAGAATAAACACTAGTATGTGATAAAGTTGAATTAAAAAAATATAAGGTAGTTAAAAAAATGACTAACTGATTTTTTTTTTTTTTTTTTTTCAAACAAAATCTTTATTATTGTTTATAAAAGAGTTGATCATATCACCCTTCAACATACTCCCCTCCAGAGATGAAACATTTTTGCGAATGTTCTGGAAGCATTTTCGTGTAAGCTTTTCAGTTGCTCATGAACCACTCTCGAACATTAATGGCATTATCCACAAACTGCATGCCCTTCAAATGGGTTTTAAGCCGTGCAGTTTGCATGCATATAATTTTTTTCTTGTTTACAAATGCTCAATACACTGGGCATATACCTTTCCATAGTGCACATTTTTTTTTTCTTAGTGGTTTTTTTACAGTGCAAACACTGATTGAAAGCATCAGTTCAAGTTCTTTAATAGTAATGCACCTATTCTCACAAACAACCTCATCAACATGATCATTGTCTGTTGGGATGATGGATGTTCACATGCTCTCATTCTCAATGAAACACTTAACAGGATGCATGGATCCTAGAGAGACATTTTTTGCTATACTGTGCTTGAATTTCAGATCTGAGGACATTTTCTTGAATGAGAAATTTGATCAACATGCACTATTCTATGCTCTAAGGCAGCTATTGTAAGCTCATTATTCTCGTGACTGTGAGATGTAATCTAGCAAGTTCTTATCTTTCACTGAAGGGAAGGTGGGGATACTAACCCAAGGACACATTGCTGTATATGGATAGTGATTTTTAACAGTCCTTGTCACATTTGAAGCCCCATGTACTAAAAATAGTTGGCAGTCATAATTTTCATTATTCATGGGTGTATTCAATTTATTATTCTTATTCGGTATTGTTTATCTAAATTCTCACAAATGTTCATGATTTTCAGAGATAAGGAGAGAGAGAGTTGCAAAGAGAAGTTTCACTGTATTTTCTTTTCTACTTAATTTTGCTACTCTGCATTTCTGATCTTACCATTTTCCACTGAAATTTTATGTTTTTACTTTTTAACTGTAAAAAATTGTATTTAATTAAGTATTTTGTTTCAAAAATTAGAATTTGTCATTTATGTATTTAGTGATCCAGATTGGTGGCATGCACGCCACTTAGCAAATGAACAAAATGGTTATGTGCCCCGGAATTACGTTGCTCCAGAAAAAACTGTTGAAAGTGAAGAGTAAGTACTTTTCTTAAAATTTTTTTAATTTGTTGTTTTAAAAATGTTATTTTATTAATAATTTTTGAGTTTTAGTGTATTCTCATTTTGGTCAATCTTTTTGTAGTTGGTTTTTTGGGCGTGTATCGCGCAAAGAAGCTGAAAAAATGCTCATGCTACCTTCAAATCCTAGAGGAGCTTTCCTTATTCGAAACTGTGAACAAACTACAGGTATTATAAAAGGTTGATAAACTTAAATTTTCCGCATGAAAAATCTTAACAGTATGGGAAAGCTATGCATGCAGATGATTCTGTGTTGAAATATTTTGCATGTCACTCTGTTTTTAAATTGTTCAAGTGAATCTTTTAATTGCTAATATTTCTATTTTTTATAGACTTTACTGTGGGCCTTTCATTGCATGAATATAAAATTGCAAAGTAGTTCTCTAACTATATTGTATGCCTGAAGAAGTCACCAAATATTTAAAAATGAATTTTAATTTTACTTATTTTTAGAACTATTCAAAATATGTTATCTATTTCTGTTACATATTGGTATTAAAAAATATGCATTAAATAATCAATTCATAAAGTGATGTGAAAATTTAATATTTTCTGACTTCCATGCCTACATTATAGGTATCTTCAAAATAACATATCTGTGTGATAGACAAATAAACTTCTTCTCTGCCACTGTTTTCTTTTTGCTATAGAATTGTATAACACTTTAAATTTCATTTCTGCGGTATTTTGTTTTCAAACTATTTGCTCAATGCAGTTAGATATAGTTATATTAAAAAATTAAATGCATGTTTAAAATGTTTAAATCTAGGTATGTAAATTGTTTTGCTTATGGGTATAGATTTTCTGTAAATAAAACTGCTTTCAAATTCTTATATGTGAAGAAGCTGTATAATAAATAAACACTCAAATCGTAATATTTTTAGCTTTACGAAGAATTTACAAGTGCTATTAATGATTAGCTAATATACAGCTGTCTATTAAAGATTATGATGTTAAGTAAAATGTTAGGTACTTTCTGATTATCCAAATCCCCTACTGAAAAGTTGCAAAAAAGTATTGATGAGACAGTATTTCATACCAACATCTTTCGCAATTCTACGTCACCAAAAAGTATGTCAAGTGGGAGCTAGGTATGCACGTAGCCTACATGTTTTAAATTTTTGAATACATGTGGATGTTCACTTTTGAAATTCAGCAAAATTTTCTGATTAGTATTTCTTTTTACAATGAGTACATTTCCTTTTGTTGTAATGAGTCTTAGTGGGACTATAGAGTTTGAGGGCTGATAAAAAAGCCTTGAATTTATTCAGAAATATGGCATTTTGCCCAAGAATTGAGAATACAGAAATTTGCATTTTATGAAGGTATACATCTTAAAACAACCAAATTTTATGGAATGTGATTTGAAAAATTGCAGGCAAAGTGTTAGAATGTAGGTCAGGAACTGGTTTGAAAATAGATGTGTCTTGTTTATAACACTGTATTTATTAACAAAGGAATACATGTCAAGGAAATTCTGTGAAGACATCTTGGCATTATTTTCAAACACAGCTGTCAGTGTCTTCTATGGAAAAAGGAGAATGTAGTAAAATAGATGCCACTAGATACATCACTGAAATAGATGTAAGGGTAACCCAATAAACAGTTTTCTTCAAATTTGCTAGTGAGTCTGCAAATGCTGTCCGAAGTCATTAATGAGTCTGAAACTTTTTGGTAGGGATGCATATAATCAAGAAAGCACCAAATTTTACTTTAGTGAACATACCAGTGATCATCTCTTTAAACAAAATTGTTACTTACCACTAGTAGTTAGTTGGAATTGCCATGAAACTTGAGTCATTATATTACAAAAGAATTATAGAAAAACAGTAATTTATGTGAGATATATTTTGAGTTTTTCATATGAATGTAAAGCTGTAGTTTGATGTATATAAATCCAACAGTATTTCATGTGGGGTAGAGTGGGAAGAAGCATTACCAAAATAATCTCTCTTAACATATACTCTTGCTATTTGACTCAGGTCATATATATTTCTGATGGAGCTGATGGAAAACGGGAGACCTACAGTCAATCTTTACAGGGAATACAGGGAGACAATTTATATATATATAACATATATATATATATATAAAATTAGTACAAAAATTCCTGTCAATTAAAATAAACTGTACGGTTTGATGTGAATTTATCTAGTGATTTCGGTATAAAAAGGATTATTGTTATAGAAACAATAAAATTTGAAATGAATTACAGTTTGTATAAATGGAGGCATGCTTTAAAAAAAGTGGTTAATGTATTTCTCTGACCTACTTATTTGAAATGATTAAAAAATATTAACTTGATGATAAAAATTTCAATCATATAACTGTTTTATATGTATATATGTTACCGTGAAAGACCGAAATTGGAGAATGTCGACTTTCACTGGAGAATGTCAACATTCACCAAATACGTCGGTGAAAGATCGAATATTGCATTACATTCTTGTACATTCGGACCCTCACCGGTGTATGTCGACAATCACAGATATGCTCTGGTGTAGGTTGAAAAGAGAGGAGTATATTTACACGCTGTCATTGCAAAAGAAACTGTTCCACAAATAAATACAGTTGTAAAAGCAAGGGCCTCTTGTGCAATTCAAAGTGTCATAAAAGTTTGAGTTGTTGCAATAATAAATAAGATTTGAATCACATAATTTAGTAAGTTTTAAACTTCTATTATTTTCCTTTCTCATTTTGAATGTACTGTGTGTTTTAAGTTCTTATGTTCTTAAGTTCTTATTTTAAGTCTCAAGTGCGTTTTTTCACGACTGAATTACGGAGAAAAAAATATAATATTCTTATATGTTCAACATTCACCATTAGTACATGGTGAATGTCGACATTTACCGGTGTAAGTCAGAAATAAGAGTATTTGTAAAATATTTCGGACAAACACCAAGCGACTATGCGAATGTTGACATTCACCGGTGAAAGTCTGCACTCTCCAGATTTCGGTGTTTCACTGTAACAAATATATAGATATATATATATATATAGAACAGTGGCAAAATGCAAGAAATATGGGGCAAAATATTTAAAACCAAAAAAGAAAATGGAATTTACATCTTTCACTGCATTGTCATTAGGGAGTTGGTGCAGTGAAAGAAGTTTTTTTTTAAAAAAAAAGCTTATTTTTGAACTGATGAAGATACAAATTAAAGTTTTCAAAGAAATCTGAGGAAAACAATCAATCTCTGTCTTTTATCAGTCTAGCATCCAAAGACCAAAGTAAACAATTCAAAAAATGCAAAATTATAGCATCAAAAACATAGACCAAAGAAAAAAAATGGGGGGAGGCTATTTTGAATAGATAAAGAGTACAAAAACAAAACTTAAACAAAACAAACTTGAAAAAAAGAAACCATTTGCAAATTTTTTTTTTAAATCCAAAATTGGAGGTAACAAAATTACATGCAGATTTTTAAAACATATGGGCCAGGTAAAAAGAAATAGCATAAATCATACACTGCTCGACATTGAAAATGCAACACCAAGAAGGAGTGGTAAGAAAGTGATGAAATTTGCAAAAAAGACAGAGACAGCAAGCAGCAATAAGTGATTTTTATTTCAAAATGATAGTCGGAATACAGAGCGAGAATGGCGTCAGCTCAGTAGGATGTAGGACCACCGCGGACAACGATGCATGAAGAAACACGTCTAGGCATAGAGTCAATAAGAGTGTGGATGGTGTCCTGAGTGATGGCTCTCCATTCCCTTTCAAACTTTTGCCATAGTTTGTCTTCTGAACGAGGCAGCAGCAGAGTCTGCAAACAGCGTCCAATCACATCCCACACATGTTCGATTGGTGACAGGTCAGGAGAGTATGGTGGCCAGGGAAGCATCTGTATACCTTGCAGAGCATGTTGGCAGATGCGAGCACTGTGTAGTCGGGCGTTATCCTGCTGAAAAATTGCATTAGGCAGCCCCTAAAGGTAGGGGTGCTCAGTGACGTGCATCTACTCTAAAATTTGCATAAATTTCTGACCACTCCTTCTTGGTGTTGCATTTTCAATGTCGAGCAGTGTAAATAAGCAAAAAAGCTTTAAAATCTGAAAAGGATTTTTTACATGAGTGGACTGTATCCAAAAACAGAACAGAATTCAGATTTTATATTACAGTCAAATGGGCAATTTTTTTTTTTTTTTTAATATATATATATAGGATGATTCAAAGAAACTGGAAATTTTGAAAGTTGTGTTGACAACAGTGGGAGTTTGGTAACAACGAAAACATATGCCAACCTGTCAACGAAACATGTTTAAACTAGCCCCTGTATATGCTAGGCATGTAGTATAAGTATATAAACTAGCCCTCTGTTTATGCTAGGCATGTATAAATAAATAAACTATCTCCTTGTATATGATAGGCCTGGATAAATATATAAACTAGCCATGAGAAAGACAAAGTAAAATTATAAAAAAAAAGGGGGGACCCAAAAGAAGTGAAATTCAATACCAAATAAATTTAAAAATTCTTTATAAATATGTAAAATAAGAAATAAAGAAATGTGAAACTAAAACATAAAATTACAAAAACCAGAAAAAAAATACAAAAGAAGAGGATTTGTAATATTATATATACAGTCAAAAGTCTTTAATTCGGATGTCCATAATCCAGAATGATCTATAATCCGGACCTCAAAAGCTACAAACTTTCTGTACTGTTTACGCATGCACGTTTAATGTATAACAGACGGTATAAACTAAGCTAAAAATTATCTAATTATCTATTTCAGTAACTGTTGCAGATTGCGACGCGCAATGAACTGGAAGTTGATATGTCAGCACTATCCTTATCTTCAGAGCAGATGTTTTTATTTTATTCGGCTTATAATTCCTTACTAAATGTAGTATTTCATCTCAATGTACTCCGTCTTTGATGTGATTTAAATCAAATTCCTCGTCATTATAAATATCACGAATACACATCAAATAGATTTCTGGTTGCAATTTTCTAATTTTGACTATGCGTAATGTATGCTTTACGCATGCGAACATTGAACAAAATGTTTAATAAAGTAAACAAATAAATATTTAAGCTTTTTTTTTTTTTTTTTTGTAAATTTTGATACTGTTTAGATCATAATTGCTCTTTATTTCATAAATTATGGTTTCATATTTTTAATTTTATAATTTCTGCATGCCATCTTATCAGGTTTAAACTGATAATCTATAATCCTGGAAAAGCCGATGATCTGGAAATTGCCGAAAACCCGACGCGTCCGGATTAAAGACTTTTGACTGTAGATGTTATAAAATAATTTTTTTAAAACAAAATATAATCATGTCTAGAATTTTCATGCATTAAGCTGCTGAAAAATTATTAATAAAGACAAAAAGTAAGAAATTTTAAACCAGTTTTTCACAAAGGCGAAAAATTGAAGTTCATAAGTAATAAATTTCAAATAATCCTATAAATACAATAAAGAATTTAATAAATGTTAAAATCAAAACTCTTCAAACAAGCAATACTCCAATTAAAAAAAATAATGAAATTAAAGAAAAAGAACATAATAGAAAAGGAATTCTATCAACCTCAATGACACTTCATCAGGAGGTGGAACATTGAAAACAATTGAAATTTCTCTTCCACAAAAATCTTTGCTTTTCTGTATCCAGAATTAGCCGATTAACCATTTCAATGTATTTTAATTATAATAGTTCACCTGAAAATTCTGGCTTTTCCCCAAAGCAAGGAAAAAACAAAGTAAATTCAAATTAAAATCTTGAATAAAGAGAATTCTATTTAAAAAATTGAAAACTTAAGTGAAAAATTCAAATCAAAATTTTACCTTTAAACTATATTATATGTATAAACTATATTATAACGTATCAATCGATAAGTCCCGAGACTAAGAAAATAACATCCATTTCACGAAATTCATGTTTATTCATCAACATAATCACCATCAAGAGCTATGCTATCATTCCAACACTTTTCTAACTTTTCTATACCATGCTTGTAAAACGATTTGTCCTTGTCCGCAAAATAAGCTTCAGTGGCAGCAATGACTTCCTCATTTGAGCCAAATCTTTTTCCCTGGAGTATCTTTTTCAGATCAGCAAACAGCCAGTAGTTGCTAGGGGCTAGATCTAGGGAATATGATGGGTGGGGAAGCAGAGTGAAGCCCAACTTGTTCAAAGTAGCCAGTATTTGCATTGACTTGTGGCATGGGGCCGTGTCTTGGTGGAAGATGATTTTTAGCTTCTTTGTGTGTGGTCTTTTTTTTTTTTTTTTTTCGATTTCGTTCTTCAGATGCACCAGTAACTCACTGTAATAGGTGTATTGATAGATTTTCCCTTTTCAAGGTAGTGGATGTAAATTATACCTCATGCATCCCAAAACACTGATGCTATGAAATTCTGTTTATTGCGAGTAAACAGTGACAAACAGCTTTGTGAATCGACTTGTTGTTGCTTTTGTTCCATTGTGAGCATGCGCAGCACCCATTTTGAAAACGCTTTTTTCACGCCCAACTTTTCATGTAAAATCGCACACGCACTTCCAGTTGATATAATTACCATATCAGCAATCTCACGAACTTTCACTTTGCGATCATTCATCATGATTTTCAACCCATGTTTCTCATTTTCTGAAGTGACCGCTTCATTTGGCCTACTCGAGCGTGCCACATCATTTGTATCCTTGCAACCACGCTTGAAATCGACATACCAACGACAAATGGTTGTTTTCGATGGAGCAGAGTCTGGATAACATTTTCAAACCATTGCTGAGCTTGGACAGTATTTTTGCCCATTAAATAGCAATGTTTGATCAACACTCGAAATTCGTTTTTATCCATTTTGTCCCCAAATGCACAAGTAGTGTCACTTTCACCACAGTAGCTTCGCCAAAGAATCTCTAAGGAGAAGAAGTAAAGGTTCCCTGAGGCAAATGTGGCTCTGTCAGACCGAAGAGACACATTATCTATATCCCTGAAGCTATCCACCCTCCGTACCTCACTGCGCATGTGCGAAATAACATCAGGAGGCAACAAAGCAGCATGCCGTCGTCCATATTAGCACTCTTTTACCACGTTGTTCGAAAAGGTTCTTTGTTGTTGTAGTCAGAGGTACTTGGTTTTAGTTATGTGAAATTCTTTTAAAGACTTTTTAAATGTAATGCTGTAAGTGAAAAGGTTTTGGCTATTGGGTGAAAACTTTGCTATTGGTTTTCACAATGGTCATTCCAAATAATTGTCTAAAAGTTTCCATGGTAATTTGTTTTTAAAGTTGTTGTCGGATAATTATAACGTATTTCAGTGTTGTCCATTTATTTAGGGGTGCCTTTAATTGTCTTTAATTATTTTTTCTGTTTCAGTTAGTTATTGCAAATTTTGCTTTTAAAATTTCACTGTAAAATTTTAACTATGGATTCATAAAAATTTATTACATTTTGTATGGCATGTGTTTCCCCCCCTTATTAAGTTTACAGAAGAAAAGAAGAAATTTATTTCATTTAAATTTTGTCTTCGTATGGCTCGCTGTTTAAATTGAAAGTAAAAATTTGACAGGATTTCTATAATTCGCTCAAAATTCCAATTAACATCCTTTTGCTCATAAAACTCCAGAAATGTATGAAAATAAAACAGTTTGAGTTACTAATTCAGAAGTCAAACAACAAAAATCAGCGTTAATTTACAAAATTTTCACAGGACTAGTTTCGATGGTTTTACCGAACCATCATCTTCGGCTGCAAAACCGCAAATCAAATGCGGTTTTGCAGCTGAAGATGATGGTTCGGTAAAACCATCGAAACTAGTCCTGTGAAAATTTTGTAAATTAACGCTGATTTTTGTTGTTTGACTTCTGAATTAGTTTGAGTTATTTCAAAGTAAAAAATTTACTATCTCCTCGAACTGTGTTTAAATTCCACCCTGTGCTGGTGTTTCACTGCATAGCCGTGGCTCTTCGGTACAGCGGTGCAGAGGCGAAACAGGTTTACATGGCGTCTATGGAAGCTTTCATTCTTCTCCTTAGAGATTCTTTGGCTTCGCTGTTCCCGGTCCGAATGCCATGAAAATCAGACGTGTATCATTTGAAGGTTAGTTCTTCCAAACAGCGAAGTCTGATTGATATTACTACGCCATCTGTCGTATAGTCCAGGGACTTATTGAAGGATGTGTTATACATAAATTTTAAACTATATTAAAATTTCAAAAAAAATTACCTTTAAAACTATATATATATTTATTTCAAAACTTCTGTTGCTCTTGATTCTACAGATTTTAAAAACTTACTACTCTATTTTTTATTTATTTATTTTTATATATACATTTTAAAAATCAGATTTTCTTTCATTTCTTTTATTCTTCAATCAGAATGGACTTGCTTCAATCATTTAAAAGTTTTCGTTAGATTTTTAAGCATTTTTGCTTATTTATGATTTACGCTGGTCTTTTTTTTTTTTTTTTTTTTTTTTTTTTTTTATAAATCTACGTTTTTTTGCGGCTATAATTTTGCATTTTTGGCACTGCTTACTTTGTCTGTAGGGGTTGGATTGATACAGAATTATATAATTAAGATTATTTTTCTAAGATTAGTTTTAAAGATTAAATTTATTATTTTTCTAAGATTAGTTTTAAATATTAAATTTAATTGTGTTTGTCGATTCAGAAATGAACTGTTTTATTTATTTTTTCTTTCTTTCTTGTGCCAAATCATTGATGACAATACAGGGAAAGTTGTAAATTTCATTTTCAAATTTGGTTTTGGCATATTTTGCTTCTCTACTTCTTGCAGTTTGCCACTGTACTTCTGTTTTCTGTTCCCCCCCCCCATGTGGTTTATTCCAAATTGAATATGGTATGAATTTTAAACTTTTTTTATATCTAAAAAAATTAACTTTTATATTTTTAATATTAAACCTTATATTTTAGGTGCATATTCTTTATCCATCAAAGATTGGGAACACCAAAAGAGCGATCATGTAAAGCATTATAAAATCAAAGCAATGGATAATGGTGGCTTTTATGTAACAACAAGAAAAACATTTGTTACACTTCAGGAACTAGTTGCGTATTATTCAGGTAAGATGATTATTTTATTTCAAATTCAAATTAACTCTCAGTTGTGATAAACTTAATGTATAGTAAGTTGTGTAGTTGAAAACAGACCATAAATTATAAGAAATTTATAGTCTTTATGATCATGAAATTCATATTTCATTGTATAATCTATATTTAGTAATTTGTTTGTTTATGAGGATTACATATTACAATAATGGAGGCATGTTGTTGTATTATATGAAACCATTTAAAGAAATATATTTTATGTCTAAATGTAATGCCTTACACATTTGTTTATTTAACACATTTTTCAAAAGATTGAATATTTCATGAAACTAACTGTAATGCACTGTGGTAGAATGTGCAGAAACACTGGAAGTATTCTCAGAGTTGCCAGCTTTCCCGATTTAGACGGGAGACTCTGGTTTTCGACCATTCTCCCGCCAACTCGATTTACAATATATTTATCCCGACTTTTTTCTTATTCTTAAAATTTCTCACGATTTCTGTGGAACTTAGCTTAATACTTTGTTATATGAACAAAAAAAAAAAAGTGATTTTGAACGTCGGAAAGCAATTGAATTTTATTTGGATTATATCTAAAACAAAACCTTGCGAATCAGATGAGAATTTCTGCTTTGTGAGTGAGAGCATACGTGTCCAGAAACGTCATTCTCGAGTTTCCCGATTTAGACAGGAGACTTTTGAAAAAAAACGAAAAATTAGATTTTTCTTTGGAAACAAAGGACCAAAAAGTGATTAATGCAAAATGTCTGTTCTCTGCCTTTTTACTGGAGCACAACCTGCCACTGAATGCATCGGATCATGCTGCAGCTTTATTTAGAAAAATGTTTCCCGATGGTGAAATCGCTAAGAAATGCTCAAGTGCAAGGACCAAAGGTGTATTTGTTAAATAAATGGGTTTGAAAAATAAATCTTCAGTTATTAATTGCATTAAAACAGCTCCGTTCTGCCTCTTTATGGGTGGAAGCAGTAATACCAATTCAAAACTGTATCCAAATGTTGTTTCTTTTTTTAATCCAGAGTCTTCAGAAATTGAGTGCAATTTACTTTGTCTCCATGTTAGAAGGACATTCGGCAGTCTTTAGTATAACACAGCTAATTATTAAAACTTTAAAAGAAAGTGCAGTCCCTCTGGATAATTGCTTAGCAATTGGTGCCGATAATGCACCAGTAATGGTAGGCTTGAAGACTAGTGTTGCAGGCATCTTAAGAAAGGAAAATTCAGATTTTCAGATTATGAGGTGCACCTGTCACCTCTTAAATTTAGCAGCTGAGAAGGGGGCAGCTTCTTTACCAATAAATGTGGATGAACACATTGTTGATATTTATTATTATCTTGAAAGGAGTTCTAAAAGGAAGGGAAAATTGAAACAGTTTCAACAGCTGCATAATAGTGAAATGAGAAAAAATTTTTAAACATGTGTGTACACGCTGGCTGTCTTTAAAGAAATGCTTATCTAGAATCCTTGATCAATGGAACCCACTTTTTGCATTTTTTTAAAGAAGTAAATGCTTCGAGAGTTAAGTTAAAAGGCTCTATTGAAAGTTATAAAATACCTAAAGTAAATGGAAATGTAGTTACTACTTCCATTTTTAAAAATACGTTTGAGAAAAATAAAGTAATTTTTGCACCATTCAGCAATTCAACTGGCAGTTCTCAAAATAATACTGCAAAATATAAGCACAAAGCTGATACAAATTTCTCTCAAAATTTGGGGGGGGGGGGAAATTGCTCAACACACGAAACATTTTCTGATTACTGCAAGTTTATCATGTGAAGAACGAATATGTATGTTTTTTTTTTTCCTTCGGACCTTAACAAAGCTTTTTGCTTTTTTTTTTACAATTCATTTTGCTATCATTCGCTGTTCTTAACACAGTTCTACAAAGCAGAATTCCATTAATTCATGTTTTGCAATCAAGGATTTATGATCTTTTTAAAGACATTTCATCAAAGTTTGTAAAACCAGTCTATGTTTTGTCTTGTAATTCTATATATGATGTGATTTATGGTGAAATAGAAAATCAGAAGAAAGATGAAGATTTGGTAATTGGAGCTACAACTACAAAAGTAGTATAAAAGCTTTCTGATATAAGGTACTTTTTGAACAGATTTCCTGTGTTACTTCATTTAGTCATGAAAGATGATGATATTGATGTTGCCATTGATAATATTGCAGACTCAGTTTTGCAGTTTACAATTAGAAAACTTGGATGGAGTTATAAAATCAGCTAGGGTTGACACTTCGTGGAGTTTAATTGGAAAACTGAAAGGTGCTGATGGAATTTTAAAATATAGTAAACTGTCTAGAATTATGTTAGCCATCTTGACAGTTCCCCTTAGTAATGCAGAGTGGGAGAGGATTGTCAGTGTTGTTGCGAAAACGAGGACTAAATTTAGATCTAATATTCATTCAATGATGACACATTAGAAAACCTTTTATTAGGGAAAGCAGGCCTACATGGCAATTGCTATGAACAAAATTATGAAGTTTCTTTCTTAACGAAAGCAAAATCTGCCACTGTTCATAATTATTTGTACAAAAACTGATTAAAGTATCTCTTTTTTTTTTTTTTTTGCTTGTTTGTTTTCTTAAACGATGCAAGTAATAAAAATGTTTTTTTATGTATAAGGTATTTTTCTGGTGCTTGCATTTAAGAATTAGTAACTGTTGAAAGTTAATTCATTATTAAAAACTATATTTTTATCATTTAAAAAGTCTTTTTAGCTTTCTCTTATTTTCTTCTTCTTATAGTGAAAAATCTGATTTTTGAGTGTCATAGGTTGGCAAGTATGTATTCTGAAATAGAAATAGTCCCCTGCTAAATTTCCTTTTCTTTACATCTCTTCTAAGAAGGCTCATAATTATTTTGTAATCACTGGTCGCTGGTAGTTATATTATTCCAGAAAACAATTGTTTCAGATGACAGCAGTATTTCTTTTTTTAAAATGTTTGCCCCAAAATATGCCATTTGGCATATTATTTTAATTAAAGATGTTAGGAATTTCTCTTTGGAGTGATTTCTTTTTATGTGTTGTTAATGTTTGCCAGCTTACAATAAATATTGATAGCTTGAGAATCTTTCTAAAAAAGTTCATGAAAACCACCAATTTGCATCCGATAAGCAACTTTTACTTTTTTATCTGCAAAAAATCGGCAAATTTAATACATGATTAAAACTTTTGATTGTGATCACTCTAGATCTTTTACAACAAAAATATTGAAATAAATAAATCCCTATTCCATTTGTACTTTATTTATAACTTTTAAGCATTGTTGGACACCATTATCAGCATTAAAAACACTCCACCATAAGCAGTGTGCCATGATCATTCTTGTTCATAGCACTCATTTTCAAATACTTTTTCTTAAAGATTTATTTCTTTCAGTAGAGGTGACTGTTGATGTTTTTTTCAACATGTTTTGGCTTTCAGATTTAAGATTATTCAGTATTTTATTTTTGTGCATTATGTATTTGATCAACAATTTCAGACTCTTTTTTAATTTCAAACTTACGAATTTAATTTAATATTCACTTTGTTGCAAAAAATGTATGCACCCAGAGAGAATTGAGCCACAATTATGAAACTTGGCAGTAGGATAGTGTTCAAATGATCAAAAACTGGGGCAAAAATGCATTTGTTTACAGTTAGCAATACAAAGAGTGGGAGAATTAGTAGGTGGTAAAGCCACCCCTGGCAGCTGTGTAAGCTGGTACTTGGTTGGACATGGTGTCTATCAAGTTGCCAATATCCCTTTGTGGTAGATTATGCCATAAATGGAACAACTGGCCAGCAAGTTGGGATGTATTTGTACAAGGCTAAATTTGTCTGCCTAACATGTCCCAAATATGTTTGATAGGCGACAGGTCTGGAGACCTGGCAGGCCAGTCAAGGATATTAACACATCGAAGACATTGTTGGGGAAGCTATAGTCTATGTGTTTGAGTATTGTTCTGCTGGAAAACAGAACCTGGATGACCTGATAGCATAGGCAGTATGATCAGCTGCAAAATGTCGTCAGTTGTACTATCAAGCAGTCAGAGTATCTCAAAGTACGACTAATGGTGAATGTCTGTTCCAGTTTATTATTTCCCAGACTCTCGCACTGTGTGTTCTAGTTGTGCCAAATGGTACATTGGACCGCTCACCTATCTGTCTCTAGACATGTATGCGCCAGTCATCAGCATTAAGATTAAAGCACAATTCGTCACTGAAGATCACATTTCTCCAGTTGGGCACTGTCCAGCTTGAGCGAGTGGGACACCATGAAAGACACACTGCTTATGGTGGAGTGTCAATGGCAAGCATCTTAATGGACACAAGATCTGAGCTCAATGTCACCTAGTCTTCAGCGGGTCATATCTCTGGGTATCTCGGGATTCCTGCAAGTTGGACAAATGATGTTGAATCAGTGATAGCATAACTGTTGCTGTGGACGTGGCAGCTCTTCTAATTGTGCAATCATTTCATACATTGGTGGACTAGGGACGTCCCGAGCCACTATAGTAGCTGATTACTTTGAGTGACTGGTTTCAACAATGGACAAGACCATGTCACATCAACCGATATCCTGGCCGATTTGCCTGTTCAACCAACCATTTAGCCCTATGATGCGACTCTTGTCAAAGTCTGACAATTGTCTGTAATGCCGCCGCGTGTGTCTTAAAGGCATCTTTCATTTCAGTGTCATGTATCCAAACCATCAGTGTGGTTGTAAATCATGGTCATTCGCTTCACCTGCCCTTTTACTTTCTACCTTTTTCTTTCAGTTCAGATGTCCATTGTGTCATTCCATTATGCTGATTGGTGCTGCAAGTTTAGTCATTTACACAATTCACCAAATCATATTTGCATACAGCGTTTTGTAGCTGTGGCTCAATTATTTCTGTGTGTATATATTTTTTTGCAGCAGAGATTATATAGAATTATTTAGTACAGTAAAAAGCCTGACTGTCTCTCATTCAACTAACTGGAAAGCTCAAGTAACTAAAGT